AATAATCACATTGCTTTTTATCAATTAAAATATTTTTAACTAACCAAGCATTTTCAATTGGTGGTCCTGTGAATATTCATAATTACAACATCGTTTGTGAATAAATTCCATTTTCTTCTGCCAACAGTATTGTAGCTCAGAGTAGAATAATTTTGCCTTTAATTGCAAACCATTAACTTTTCTAATCTCATGATTTTTTTCTTTCATAGTGCGCTGGTAATATGCTTCAAATATAAATAAGCATAAACTTTCGGCAGACCTGCATCAATAATGCTAGATTTAAATTATACACATATATAAGAACAATGAATGCATCATTTTTAACTATTTCCCCTTCAATTTCATTCCATTGTGTCCTTCGTATAAATCAAATGGAAGTCTCTTCATCATTCCCTCCTTATTAATATGAGCAATAATTAATGATGGGGTTTAAGCCAACCCTAGCTCTACTTCTTATCACCAGTTATTAGAAATAGCTGGCTCACATCGCATCCCACTACTGGCAAATACAAGTGTGAAAAGATCAAAGAGAAGATTGGAGGGAGCACAACGCGGACATTTCTGAACTGAAGAGTCTCTTGCATGATCGGAAAACATGGAACATGTGCCGTGATTCTGATCACGTTAGGGAATAAATGAAGAAAAGGGGTGTATAGTGAATCAATGCTCCATAATAACTTGTTGGATTAAATTGGTCGGAACCTGTACCGATCATTCTACTGGCAATTAGAAATACCATCAAGGAAGACATCGGATACTGTCCTAAGGAAATCACTTTGTGTGTAACTCCTAGGCTATCTGGTGAAACGAGTCTCAACTCCCAGAACACAGAACATATAATCCCCAACCCCCGGTGCACTACGTCACCCCACCACAAGTATCCTTACCAAAATAGAATACAAGGAAACACAAAATTCTATTTACAAGTGAAATACAATCACAGTATCACAAGCAAAAATAAACACATCATAGTGGCCTCTCATCGATTTGCATGAGCATTTCTTGAATACGTTTTAGCAGGGTCGGATTTGAGCTTCGACAAGAACTGGGCAGATAAGGTGGCATGACTGTTACTAACCCGTCATACAGCACGATCTTCTCATCCTCTTCTGAAGTCTTAGCGACCAGTGGGCCAAAGAGACTAAGGACAGATTGCCGTCGGCGATCTAAGCTATCGGTTCCGTTACATTCGGTTGAATAAACTGGTTCATCGTCAATAGATGAGAAGTAAACCGAATCCAATTTAGCTTTCATTTCTTCGGGTAATGGTGGATAGTTCGATAGAATCTGAGATTAGAAAGGAATAATGATTTAGAATGGGCTTCAACTTAGTCTATTGCATCAAATGACTGGAAATAATTGATTCTACACGAAACTATGATTTGGAACGTGGGCAAAGCCAAAAGTAAGCTAATATATGCGCAAGTGATCGATTACAACTGTGATGAGGAAGAAGGTAGTAAGAGTTCAGGAACTTAATAAGGTTAAATAATGTTCCGAATATATTAAATGAACGTTATTGCGGAATGAAAGGTATCATTAAAGTGAATATAAAAAAGGCTTAATTTGAAAGTATCGCCAAAAGATAAGCGGAAATATTACATGGGTAGGTAGCACATTTTAGTTAACTGAAGAAAACGTTAAAGAGCAGTAGATAGGAAAGCGCTACTTTGAGTTAGTCTGTGGGACACGTTATCACTGTGTACGTCATCGTATGCCTGCATGTCTGCTCGCCAGGATTGGGAGGCGGCCGTACAACTCTGTGTGCAGCGACCGTGGCAGTGACCAATCATCAACCTCTGTTTAACGCGATCGTACAAACAGTGACCAATCATTAACCTCTGTTTAACCTAATCCCCCATCCGTGATCAATCATCAACCTCTGTTTAACCTAATCCCCCATCCTGATCATGGGAAGCTCCATGCGTGTACATTTGATCCTGAATATACGTCCTGAGTAAACGTGCTCCGTGCTACGCGTCTGTTTCCTTTATAGCTGCGTGCTCCGTGCTACACGTCTGTTTCCTTTGCGTACTCCGTGCTACACGTCTGTTTCCTTTATAGCTGGGCGCCCCGTGCTACACGTCTGTTTCCTTTATAGCTGGGCTATAGCAACACGTCTGTTTCCTTTATAGCTGGGCTATAGCTTAGCTGAATTATACGTCTGTTTTCTTTATAGCTGGGCTATAGCTTAGCTAGTTCGGGAGTCTAGCTAGATGTAGGAGAATCTGCCAGAGATTTCTCGGGAGTCTAGCTAGATGTTGGAGAATCTGCCATAGAGACTATCTTGCCATCGAGATTTCTGAGTCAGTCAGGCTTTACTAAGGTGTTTAGCTGGTTCTGGGAGTCTAGCTAGATGTAGGAGGATCTCCCATTGAGATTTCTGAGTCAGTCAGGCTTTACTAGCGTAGCCAGAGATTTCTGAGTTAGTCAGGCTTTACTAGAGTAGCAATATTTCTGAGTCAGTCAGGCTTTACTAGCGTAGCAATCCGTGGAGCTATAGCTTAGCTGTTCTGGGAGTCTAGCTAGATGTAGGAGGATCTGCCATAGAGATTTCTGAGTCAGTCAGGCTTTAATAAAGTAGCAATCCGCGACAAGTCAAAATAAAATTAAGACATTGAGGGAGGGAGGGAGGGGGGGGGGGCAAAGAATAGATTAGATGGTGTCACAGAGCTCTTCTAGAGAAGACATACTAATTAAACAAATAACAAGGAACCGGTGGATTTAATATAAACTAAGTCAAAATTTATTCGTGATCTCGCCTTAATGGCGAAAACGAAGAAAAACGGGTTAGAAGATAAAGTGGATACGACAATTAGGATACAAAAGGAAAAAACGTTGCATTTGGCGTACAAAATAAAACACCTCAAGAGATCAAGGGTATCATTAAACATGACTGGAAATCAGAGTTTTAATGAGGCTTTTTTGAGATCATAGCCGATTTACTAATACTATCAGAGAATGACTTTGTGAAGTGTAATATAAAAAGTAAAATGAATTAAATGCTTACTACGTATACCATTATTGCGATATAACAAAGGAAATAACGACAAATGGTAGTCATATATTATTAAAGTTAAACAAGCCAACGATTTTTATACAGCACGGAAGTAGAAATGATTAAAAAATTAAATGGAATAACCGATTACCTCAATCTTTTCAATACTCCACCCCGAAACAAAAGTAACTTTCCCTTCAGGAACAGAGCACAATACGATTGTGCGTCCATCCGAATCCGAAGCTCCGCAAATATATCCAAGAAAAACTTTTGATTGACAACAATGCACCTTCACAGCCGTCCAAAGTGATGGAATCAATTTTTCATCTGAAGTCATTATTTAAAATAGGAGTGACAGAAAACGTGACAATGGATCTATAATGAATATCAGAGAAAAATGAAGCCACTCCGAGATACCTAGACTAAAGCATAAACAAAAGAAACAAAACCAAATCTGAGAATATATACATTTTATTAACGGAAAAATTTATGGGTACAAGGGATAAATTTAAACAGTAAAGTGGTCATTTTGCATTTTTAAGTCAAATAATTCCTGATGGAGCTCTGCCAACAAATTACGCTTAGCAACACAAGATGTAGCAACAGCATTAAGCAGTTTACTTTGAGATATGGGGTCAAGTTCGCAGGCAGACTGGAAAAGACCAAGGGGAGTACTGGGATCTGGGTACACAGACGGAACGGGGGTGGCCTTTGCACCAGTTGAAGTTAGTGATCGAGGTGTCAAGACTCCTGATGATGGAGCCGAATTGCCTGGACGTTGAACTCGAGAAGTTGGCCTACAAAGGTCTTTTGCCTCTTGAATGGAAGACCTCAAAGAAGCAATACGCTGAGACAAATTTGAAAAAAGAACACTACTTCCGGCATCAGCAAGATTATTAGCTGAAAGTTAAATAAAACATGAAAATAAATTCAAAACAACATAATACGAATGATGT